TTATTATTTATTGTATTAAAAAATTAAACAAAAAAGCAGAAGTACATGGAATTGAACTCCATACCTCTCAAATACAAAGTGACCGCTCTACGATATGAGCTACACTCTCTTTTGTTGAAGGTTACAACTATTATTTACTGTGTTAAAAAATAAAGAGGAGAGTGCCATTGAATGAAATCGAACCCATGTATCTCAGGTGCAAAAGTGAATGCCCTTTCATATGAGCTGCACGCCATTTTGTTAAATGTTGGTACAATAACATACATATATATACATACATAGATACATATATATTACGTAAATCTTCATTAATATTTTTCCCTAGCGAATTCAGCACGGGTGATCGCGCCGGCTCATCGAGTGTAGGATGGTTTTTGGCTAACTCTAGAACTTGTAAAAGCACAACTATTTATGCCAAGATTTTGTGGAAACAATAGGTACTTGTCTTGATCATTACCACATGAAAAAGCATGGATTGAAGATACCATGTTTCTTTGTTGGATTTTCTTTCTAGACAATGTTAACGTTCATTTGTTTTCCTCACTCTTTCGAATTAGAACCTATAGTGCCTTGAAGTGCAACACACTCACTCAACAGTTAATGGTGCCACGTGTCCCATGTAAATCTTCCCACTTCCCTAGTGGTGTCAATCGAGCCAAGCGGCTTGTCGACTTGCTCGCTCAGCTCGTACTGTTCATGCCCATGAGCCACTTGGACTCGTAAAAAAACGAGTACGTGCCGAGCGGGCTGGCTCGCTAGACGAGCCGAGCCCCCTCGGCTCGTACTGTTCACGAGCTGCTCACCGAGCAGCTCGTGAAGGAGCCCACGAGCTTCTTGGCTCGTGGGCTTGTGTTTTTTCGTGACCAGAACAGTCACTGAATTTTCAGTGATCATTCCAGTCACTTGGTGACCAAACGGTCACTTCTATATTTTTTATTTTTTTCTACTTTCCTTCTCCTATAAATACCCAATCCATTACAACATTTTTTCCTACAAAACTTTCATTCTCTACTCTACTCTTTACAATTTACGAATCATTATCAATAATATCATTCATTTATATTATAATATTCTTCAACATTTTTTTACATTATTATCTATATTTTACAACTTATTTTATACACTAGTATATATTCT